GGGCAGCGCCCGACGCCGGGGACCCGGGGCTCGCGCGGCGGCGAGGGTTCCGGAGGTAGCAAGCGAGAGGCGACGCCCAGATCCATCGCCACCGTCGGCCCCCCGACCCCGATGACGCCGCGGGGCCCTGCCCAGGCCTCGGGGCCCCGACCAGGCCTCGGATCTCACCTCCAAGCCGGGAAGGACGAGTCCGCGCGGGCGGCGAGGAGCAGAGGAAGCGCTCGGCCGCGGCAGCTTCCGGTCTGGCGGCGGGTTGGGGGCGGGACCCGGGAAGCCCGGGCGGTTGCCGTGGAGACGGCGCGGGGCGGCGGAGGGGGGGACCCGGCGACACCCTCCAAACAAACGATCCTCCTTGCAGGCCCCCAGCCACGTCCCTTCCTCTGCTTTCCGTAACTCGGGGAGGTTATTCCCGCTTTACAGGAAGTCTAGCCCAAGGGCCTGTGACTTGCCCGAAATGACAGGAGAGACTCGGTGTTTAAGTCTACACAGCCTTGTTTTGATGCCGACCCCGCTGCCAGGCTCTTTTCAAGTACGGACCTTTTAGGGAATTCCATTTGAGGCTTCCGCGATGCCCTGGTCCGTAAGGAGTTGCGCTGCTAACTGAAAGGCAGCGCCTCTCTGGCAGTTCGAATCCACAAGCAGCTCCAAGAGAGAAAGCTGGACGGTCTCTCCTTCTATGAGATTTACAGCCTCGGAATCCCAAAGGAGGGTCAGATGTGAGTCGGTTCTGACTCCACAGCAAAGAGTTTCCCTGAGTTGAAGGAGACCTGGTGGCAGAGTGTGTAACACATAGAACTAATCCACCAGGTCCTCTCCAAGATAAAGATGGGGAGTCTCTCCTCTTAAAGAGGGTCACTATGAATCCAAACCTACTACAGTGGGTTGGAAAAAAAGGGAACTCCACACCACCTGATTATGCTCACGCAAAACCTATACCTAGATCAGGAGGCAGTTGTCTAAATGGAGCAGGGGGACACTGCATGGTTTAAAAATCAGGAAAGATGTATTCAGGGCTGCATCCTTTCTCCACACCAATACAATCTGTATGCTGAGCCAATAGTTCGGGAGGCTGTGTTTTATGAAGAAGAATGTTACATCAGAATTGGAGGATCAACAACAACCTGCGGTATGCAGGTGACACAATCCTGCTCTTTGAAAGCAAGGAGGACCTGAAGGAGGCACTTAACGGCAGAGGGTCAAGGACTATAGCTTTCAATATGGGATACATTTCAATATTAAAAAACCCAAACAACAACCCAGAAATCCTCACCACTGGGACAATAGATAGACAGAGAGAAGATCAAAGTAGTTAATTATTTAATCGTGCTTGGATCCACAATCAACCCCCTGGACAACAGTTGTTGTTGTTAGGTGCTGTCGAGTCGCCTATTACCCATAGCAACCCTATGTACAGACGCTTGGAAGCCTGCCTTGTCCTGTTCCAGTCTCACTGATTCTGACATACCTAACTCCTCATTTCCCAAGTTACTGTATCAATCCATCTCATCTTGAGTCTTCCTCTCCTGACCCATATTTTCACTCTTCTGAGCTTGATGTCCTTTTCCAAGGATTGGTCCCTCCTGGCTACATGCCCAAAGTATGTAAGACAGAGTTTCAAAATCCTAGCCTCCAAGGAAAAACTTGGTTTCACCTTTTCCAAGACAGACCTATTTTTTTCTCCTGGTGGTCCATGGAATGTTCAAGACTCTTCTTCAGCACCACAATTCGAAGGCATCGATTCTTCTGTCACCCTTAGTCACTGTCCAGCTCCCTGATGCATAGCAAGTAATTGTGAAGACCATGGCCTGGATTAGGAGCACCTTAGTCTCTAGTCAATAAATTGAAAGACTGTGAAAGTGTGAAACACAATTAATACAAACTTTGTAAACAAACCAATACAAATACTAATACTATATTAAACTTTAAAATCATAGAGAAAATATAAAGAAAAATTTAAAAAGATTGTTGATATGGGGAAGTCAGCTGTTAAGAATCTCTCCAAGGTACTAAAAGCAGCAATGTCAGTTTGAAGGTCTGATTCAAGCCATGATCTTTTCAATTACTTGCTATGCATCTGACAGTTGGACATTGACCAAAGATGACAGTAGAGGAGTCAATACTTTTGAGTTGTGATGTTGGAAAAGAATACTATCCCGTGGACTACCAGAAGAACAAACAAATATGTCTTGAGAAAATGCAAACAGGGTACTTCTTGGAGGGAACCATGATAATGGTTCATCTCACATACTTCGGGCATATTGCTAGGAGAGGCCAGTCCTTGGAAAAGACATCATGCTTCCAAAAGTAGAGGGTCAGCAAAAGAGAGGAAGACCCTCAATGAGCTGGATTGACACAGTGGTTAAAGCAATGGGCTCGAGTATATTTGGAATAGTGAATATGGTGCAGGACAAGGTAGGGTTCATAGGGCTGTTATAAGTCAAGGTCTACTTGAAGGCACCTAACAACAATAGTAACAACATGTGGCATAGTGTATAACTTGTTGGGCTCCTATGCAAAAGATTGATAGTTTGAACCGACCAGCTGCTGTATGAAAGATAGGCAATCAGTCTCCTCCCATAAAGATTTACAGCCTTGGAGAACTTACAGAAGATTGTGATGGTGAATTCATTACACAACAGTATTTGCTTATGAGTAAGACCTAAACTTCTCGCCACCACCATGCTTTCACAAGAAAGCATAATAGCCCTTAAAAAGGTGAGAACCTTTAAAAAAA